AACACTGTTACAATGGCCTTGGCGAAGGGGACTCTGCTTCATTACTCTGGCTTTCCAGTAATGCTTTACATTTGGCAGTGACTGTTTCAATTCAATTCCCCACCCCTCAACTAGCTGACATTTATCTAATCTTTTCAGATCTAAAGAAGTTTAACAACAAAAACAAAAAAATCGGGTTACTAAGGCATACACCATTCATAAAATGGAAACCCAAGTTTCTTCTTCATGTACCTGTTCTTTCAAGGACGGGAATAAAAATGGGGTAGAGGAGGATAGATAGATAATGACTAGGAAGTTGACTCTATTATAAATTGGTCAGATGAATGAAAACAATGATTCCTCCAGGCATAAAGTACCGCTTAGGTGCTTAACATGACAGTTCTGCTATTTCCAAATGATTCTCCAGTGTTCAGTTTGGAAAGGTAATCTGTCCCAGGAAGGCGGACCAAAGAAAAGGTCTTGGGGGGTCTTTTTTTTTTTTTAATTTTATTTATTTATTTGACAGAGAGAGAGAGAGCGCGTGGCAGGCAGAGGGAGAGGGAGAAGCAGGCTTCCCGCTGAGCAAGGAGCCCGATGTGGGATTCGATCTCAGGACCCTGGGATCATGACCTGAGCCGAGGGCAAACGCTCAACCGACTGAGCCACCCAGGCGCCCCCAAGGTCTTGGGCTCTTTAACCAAGTTGGTTCATGATTTCCTTTGTATAACCTTGGTGGGGCTACTTTTTAATCAGTGTAAAGACTAGAAACATGAAAAATTAAGAAATTAACAGCACTGATTTATTTCCCATGAAAAGCTGTTACAAACCACCTTCAAAATAAAATGTTATTCAGCCACAAATGACACCATCAATTTCATATTTGTAGAGAACATTATTATTGTTAAAGAGCTTTTCTTTATAAGCCTTCATGCAGGACAGAAAGTATTCTCTACTTTATAGAAAAACAGTAGAAAAAGTGATTTGCTTAAAGTCCCAACTACTAAGTAGAGACTAAACCTTCTTCTCTCAGAGCTCTAACATTTGTTATTTTAATGTCTTGCTGTTGGTGGTGAGGTGGGGAGGGGAAAGGGGACTCTGGATATGACCAAGAGAAATTTAATTAGCAAAATAAAAAATGTGCTACCACAAATAGCCTCGTAAATAGCCACTCATGCAAAAAGAGTAATGGTTTATGCCACACAAACAATAAAATCAGTATAAAGTTTTATCTGTTTACCAGCTAATTTACATGGGGGGGATTTTTCACTGAAATACTGATTGCCTACCAAGAGTTACCAGATGTCAAGAAGTCCATATAAGGAGAAATGAAGTTGCCAAGTTATGTTAAATATTTCAAAAGGACTAAAAGAATGCCATATACTAGCTCCCAATAAGACCACACAGGTTACTAAAACAAGCTGCTTTGCTTTTAGGTGTGAGCGTAACAACTGAATGTTAGCACTAACTGGCAATTAGATCTGTTTGCATGACACTACTTCATATCATGAGTTCACACAAAACAAGTAACAAAGACTCCCTGAGGTTGAAAATAGCATTCTTTCCCTTCATATTTAAGATTAGGACAAATTTATTTAACAGAAAAAGATTTAACTCAATTCCCTTGGCCTGAAGAGTAAAGCATCTATGTAAGTTCTGTTTTCTCCTTAAGCTGGTCTTTCATATGAAATCAAATTACAGATTTCCCATCCAGTGACCTGTTAAGTATTTAAATATTTAAAATATTTCTTGATGTTATCTCTGCACTTTTGACAAACTCTTGGCAGTTAACTTACACAACAGTTAAGATTTTTGTTCATACAGAATATAGCTAAAATAGAACAAATATTTACTGAGCATTTACTGAATAGAAGATGAAAAGCATGATTAGAGACTATTCTCCCCTGCCATCATAAAAAAAGACTTAAAAAAAAATCTAAAACTATAGTAATAGAACATAAGGACACATATCCAAAGCAGTAAATAGTAAAGATTATAGAAGGGAGGAAGGGGAAATAAATACCAGCAGGAACTGAATATGACTTCCTAGAAGAGCCTTGAGGGATGGTCAAACGTGGAAAGACAGACTGGGGTGGGGTAAGGGGCACATTCCACACGGGAAAAACAGATTCAGAAGCCTGAAAGAAAAAGGGGCAGAGTATCTTTAGAAGATTATTCAGAAACTGGCATGCCATGAGTGTAAGGAAACAATTTGTGAGGTGCCATTTACTCAAAAGTTAAACTGTGTAAGTATACTTCTTGGTGAGCAATGGAAAAGACAGGGCCTGGCATGTAGAAGAGCTCAACAAATATTTGGGAATAAGGAAATAAGAGGAAAAATTAAAGAACAGACCAAACTCATTTTTTTTTAAGAGCTATAACCTTTTAGAGACTAGCAATTCACAAACACAATAGACAGGAAATCCAACACTGTTTTTTCTTTGCTCTTTCCCTTCTAAGAAAATGGTACCGGCACAAGCAAGCCATGTAGATTTTATCAAAACACCTACCTAGGCTTAAAGAGTCTTATCTTTTAGAGATACTCACTGAAATATTTACAGATGAAGTGACAGGTCAGGAACCTGCTTTAAAATAATCTGAGGTGGGGTACAGATGAAATAAGATTGGCCAAAAATTTATTATTGTTGAGGCTGAATTCACGGAGGTTCTCCACACTATTCACCTTTTGTATATGTTTGATATTTTCCCATAAAAAATTAATACACACTCATATACACTGAGTATCCACCATGATAATTATCTTCTAATAATATGTCATAACTTTGAGTAGTTTCTACTATAATACCATTATACAAGTCTCTACCAAATCCGCCTTTCACTTGGTGTCTCTCTTTTTTTTTTTTTAAGATTTTATTTATTTATTTGACAGAGAGAGAGACAGAGAGAGCAGGAACACACAAGCAGGGGGAGTGGGAGGGGGAGAAGCAGGCTTCCTGCCGAGCAGGGAGCCCGACGTGGGACTCGATCCCAGGACCCTGGGATCATGACCTAAGCTGAAGGCAGACGCTTAACGACTGAGCCACCCAGGAGCCCCATCACTTGGTGTCTCTAATTCACTCCTTGCTCCATTTCCTAATTCCAGGTCTTCACACAGTATTCTGTGTGCAGCTGACTCCTATCAGCCTCCTCTATGGTTCTCAGTGGGGACTGTGCTGGCATTTGAAGTGGGATAATTCTTTGTTGTGGCAGACTGCCAGCACAGCAGCAACACGACCCTACAGCACCTGAGATAACCAAAACCATACACACACGTTTCCTAATACCACACACTGTAGAGAACTACCCCTAGTGGTAGATAGCAAACACATTTTTCCAACTTACCTCAGTAATTTTAGTAGCTCCCCACAGCCTACAAGTTCAGTATTCTATCATGCAAACCACCCCTACCTTTTCCAGGCCATACTCCAATTTCTACCAGAACAATCACCATACAGGCCAGTCTCCTTCATGCTCACTACCACTTCCTGTTTCCCATTCTTGGAATATCTTCTCCTTTACCAGCCTATATCCTCATAATTTGTCTACTCCTAAGCAAAGCATTCTCTCAAGCACTGGTGTCTTTTCTGGATAGTTTCCTCTGCCTGAAATGTGCTTCCACTCCCAAGATTCTACTCACCTGTGAAAGCCCAACTCCAAGTCAGCCTCTCACCAAAGCCTTCTCTGAAGCACCACCCAACCACCAAACTCAAAATTAATTGCTCTTTGGCTTTCATAATGACACCATAGAACTTAGTAACACTTGGTTATATAAAACTCTTCCCCCAAGATTTAGTTCTGAAAGCAGGGACTGCTCTGCCCAGTTTTGCAAAACCAGTGCCTAGAACAGAACACTTACATGCTTTAATAAATGACTTCTCTCCTCAGTACAGCACTTGTATTTCCGCCCCCCAAATACACAACTGCTCCCTCAGATTTTCTGGAAATTATTTTAATGTCAATTATCGTAACTCCACGCCCTTTCCAAACTCGCGAGTACCAGACCAGAACACTTTCGGTACCTGACTTAACCAAAAGGATTCAAAGACACCAAACTTGGTTCGAATGAACATAAAACTACCACCATGACTCCTGCTATAAGAAGTTCATTCTGCAGTTTGGAACAATACCCTAAATCACTTTCACCATGAACGGTTTCATCATACACATTCACGAAAAAACTTATTAAACACTTCGATTACCTTACCAAGCCCCGAATTTCTAACGAGCTTCCAATTTAAACCAAAGAGTGAGCTTTAAACTGCCTTTTTGGCTTTGTGACATAAAATAATCTTTCTGGCAAGGAGACCTGGGCAAATAGCTCCTTTGGGCTGCAGATAATTTTAAAGACTTACACACAGGAGGGGCTACGTAAGCAAACACCGATACCACCACCTGCCGAATCCAGGTACAAAGCGCCTTTCGGAAACACACGCGCGGAGCAAGGCCAGCAGGGAGGGAATAATTCAAACAGTACCAGAGGCTGCATTCTAAACTTTTCCTCATCAAATGCATCAGTTTTCAGTATCAGTTTTTCCTTAAACAAAAACTTAAAAAAAAACCAGGTGAATAAGCAAGACGAGGGAAACCTGACTGAAGAGTAAGGCGTTAAAACTTGAGGGCCTTCCCCCTTCCCTGCCGGGGCTCCAACAGCCAAAGTCGATTTGCCTCGCCGCGGACCCGGGGCCAGGCCGGCTGTGAACAGCCATGGCGACCCGGCGAGGGCAAGGGCCGCCGCAGTCTCCCACCCCGAGGCGCGGAGAAGGCGGCTGAGGGGGACCAGCAGCCCCAAACCCAGCCCCGCGGGAAAAGCGGAGAAATGCGCCGCCTGCCTCCTCCCACCCAAGCCTCGCTCTTGCAAGGCTGGGCCTGGGCTGGGCCCCTTGCCGGGGAAAGGGGCGTATTCGCCCCGCCCGGGGCCCCAGGAACCAAGGGGCCTCTACCGGACCGATTCCCTTTTGTCCGAGGACCCGGAGCGCCCCTTTCGCCCTCGCCGGGCTCCGAGGGGCTGAGGCCAGGCGCCTCACCGTGATGTTGCAGTGGAGTGTGAGCGGCGGCGGCGGCGGGTGCGGGCTGCCCGGCGGTGCCGGAGGCGGCAGCAGGAACTGGCAATGCAGCTCGTCCAGCTTCCAGCTGACGATGCGGAATCGCTCGTGGTTCTTGTCGAAGATGGACGCCAGGAACTTCAACTCGGCCTTGAGCCCTGACACGGACATCTTCCCCTCATCTCCGGCAGGAGGGGTGCGAAAGGGGAGCCGGGCCCAGAGCCGCCGTCACGGCCGCTACCGCCCCACAGGGCCGGCCTGGGGCCGCACTCTCGCGGCTCCGCCTCTCCCCGCCGCCGAGGCCCGCGTCGGATCGCGGCTGAAAAATGGCTAGGGGCACCGAGGCCTCGGCGGGCGGCTGCTCTCTTTGTAACTGACTCCGCGGGCAGGAGACCGCGGCCTCGCGGCTTAAAAGGGCAACTGCGACGCCGCCCCCGCTACCGCCTGGTAAAGGGCTGCCCCCACCCCGCCCCCATCCCCTCCCCGCCCCGGCGCGCCCCGCGCGCCCCGGTTCCGGCGCGTGCACGCGGCCTGCGCGCGGGCTCGCGGGGCCGCCCCCTCCTCGCCTTGACCCAGCCCTCTACCGCCCGGCCCATCTCCTTCGCTCCTCTTGCCCTCGGACGCGAGGCTCGGGGCCGGTTGGCTCTCCGGGACCTCATCACCTGGAGGATCAGGAATCCCCTGCGCGCCTCCGCCTCCAAGCCTGGGGGCCGGCCACGTGCGCGGCCTATTGCGCCGGCCACGTCGGCGCGGCTGCGGACGCGCGCCGGGCCCTGGGGGCGGCTCCTCCGCTAAGGCTTTGCGCGAGCCACCCACTCACCTGACCCAGGCGGCGCCCTAATGGGAGGCGGCGGGGCGGGCGGCGGGCGGCGAGGCGCTTTGGTCGCATCGGCACACCTACTTTCATCCTCGCTACTCTAACCCCATAGCCACCACTTCACTAGCCTGGGTTCCTGCCAGCCCCCTTTCCCTCTCTTCCTTTCCTGCCTTGAGCTTTTGTCCTGTTTGCCAAGCTTAAGGAAATCCTCTTCACCTCCCATGGAGGCAGGACTGGCCTATTTTCAGTAAAGTCTTAGCTCAAACGTCCTCTCAGAGAGGGCCTCCCAGACCACCCAATCTAAAATAGCCAACCAGTCACCCTATGTTAATTTTTTTACTCAGCACCTATCACTGCCTGATATTTTTATTTGTTCATTGTCTCTGCCCAACACGAATGTCTTATTCAGAGTTGTATCCCCAGGATCTAGAACAAGGCCTTTTGTAGACACCCAGTGTTATTGAATGAATGCTCCTATCAGGAATGCCCAGCTCTTAATACAATCTGTGGCACATTCTAGATGGATTAAGGACTGCGTGGCAGTTCAAAGGACTATAGCATAATTGGCCAGGCAATAGTATGTTTAGTAATATGTACTAGAAGCAGTATCCTTTTCATGGGTGTGCGACCTCTGTAGTTGCACAGGGCTGCTAGCTTAAAAGGACCTTGTGTTTGGTTTAATGCTCTGCTGTAGCCCTTTTGAAATCCTTAATAACTTTTCAACAAGGGGCTCTGCATTTTCCTTTTACACTGGTCTTGACTGGAGGTATTGAACCCTCTCTGCCTAAATGTCTCCTGCTTCATGATCTCCAAGTGGTTCCTGGTCTACTGGTCCCTTAGAGGACATAATACAGAACAAAAGGGGGAGATATTAGGTCCACTGAATGAGGAGTATTTTAAACGTTTTTTTCATTTACTTCTGAGATATTGTATCATGTTATAGTGCTTCTTAACCTTTCAGGGAGTCACAGACCCTCTTGAGAATTTAATAAAAGCTGTGATCCATTTTCCTGGGAAAATACCTCTGTGTATAAAGTGTTGTATTTATGGGGATTCATGGTCCTGGCACTAGAGATAGCATTATGAATTGGGACTGAGAGAAGGGGTTCCAGTTCTGAGCTCCAAGTCAGAAATAACTAGGATACTGTATTGGCATTATTGCTGGGTTAAACACTGGAATGGCTTGCTGCTTGCTTTTTCCATCAGTCTCCAGTACTCTTGGGACCCTAACAGGCATGGTAGTCATGGATGAGGATTTCAGACAAAGGGGAACAACCTGTTCAAAACTTATATGACTTTGAGAAATAAAATGCCCTGAACACGTTATTTAATCTGTCTAAGCCTTATTTTGTTATCTCTAAATTGGTATGAGTAAATTAAAGAGTTTTATAAATTGCAAATGCTTTTACTAGTTGTATCAGAAATAAATATATAAATATCAATTTCACAATCATTTTTTAAAGTACTTTTAAAAAAGATTTTATTTATTTGACAGAGAGAGGGAGAGAGAATGCACAAGCAAGGGGAGCAGCAGGCAGAGGGAGAGGGAGAAGGAGGCTCCCTGCTGCGGAGCAGAGAGCCCAATGTGGAGCTCCATCCCAGGACCCTGGGATCATGACCTGAGCCAAAGGCAGACGCTTAACTGACTGGGCCACCCAGACACCCCTCACAATCATTTTTTGAGCATCTGCTGTGTGCCAAGCCATAAGAGGGCTAGACAGTAATAGAAACTGAATTCAAGAAGCTTAATGTCTAGCATTGGAAACAAAACATTGTTTCCTGATGATTTAGGCTGCAGATAACAGAAAACTGTGACTTAAAATGGCTTGGACAATAAGGAAATGTATTACTTCACATAATAGTAAGTTCAGAGTCAGGGCAGGCTCCAGGATTGGTTGATTAGATCTTCAATAGTATCAGTAGCTCAGATTATCTCCATCTTCTTTGTCAGGCTGAGAGCAAGGTGGCCATAGCTGTTCTTGTGGGTCACATTGAGCCATGACAATATCCAGAGTCAGAAAGGACTATTTCTTCAATGTCTCCTAACACATGGGGACCTTCCCAAGATTCTGCCCAACTGACTTCCCTTCTGTGTCATTGGCCAGAAATGTATCACATGTCCATCCCTAAACCAATCATGGTAAATGGATAGGTTCATTCATTGGACTTTCAATCATCTGGGATGGGATGGATGTTGAGACAACCAAAATGTCTACTACAAACACACAAAGACAACATCAGACCATAATTGATAAGAAGTTCAAACTACTGACCTACTACATAGCAGGGAAGAAATTAATTACAGAAATTGCCTGCATAAAAGTATGGTCATGTTCAGAGAACATCCAAGAGCCCAGTTGATTATACAATACAATGCAAGAAGAAGATAAAGTTGAGATATTATCTGATACCTGATTTCAGGGCCCTGAAATACCATGCTAGGGACCACACTTTCATTTGGTAAGTCATCACTTTTAAGATTAACCTGGCATTAGTGTATACAAAATAGATTTCAGTGGGTTTAGAACTGTGAAGTAGCCACCAAGAAGAAGCAGGAAACCCAGATTCTAGATCTGACCTGCCATTAATTCAATAGGGCAAGTTACATCCAGCTCTGAGTTTCTTCAGCTCCAAACATTAGAGTCTTTTGGATTGGTCCAAGTAATATAGAAACACTGAAGTAGGAAATGTGGCAGCGGACTAGAAAGGACTACACTGATGCTAGGGATATTTGTGAGGTAGAACTGATAGATGTTAGAGTTGATGCAGGAAGGGAGGGACCAAGAGGTGTTTTATTTAAAGTAATTTTCACATTTCTTGAGCAGGTGGCTGGGAGGGAGTGATGCTATTGATACAGCCAGAAAAAGATGAATTTGAAGTGATGGTGGGACCTCAGGTAGAGAATTTGTATTACAGGCCTTGAGTTTATAAGGGAAGTCAGTGCAAGGGATATAATGGCAGATCAGCCACACAGAATGATAATAGAAGCCATAGGTATGAGTATGACCATTGAGTCACAGGGGAGGGAAGACAACTCAGGCAATTGAGTAAGGCTCACCATTGCTAATTTAGTGGTACAAGGGATCATTGGAAAAGTCAGAGGATGACCTGTGTGTCAGATTATCTGTGGAAAGGACAAGAAAGATCATGACCAAGAAAAATCTATGGGCCTTAGGGATTAGGAGGTCAATGGTGTTTTAGAGAAAACCATTGCGATAGAATGGACACGAAATAGGAGCAGACACTGTATGTAGACTACTACTAGGAAAGGTTTCAGAGTGATGAGAAAAAGAGAAGGGAAGCTTTAGGGTTTTGTTTTGTTTTGTTTTTATTATAGTGCAGACAGAGGTAGATTTACTGTGAAGCTTAACCTCCAGGGCCCCTTACACTTGCACAGCCCTCTTCTAAATAAAGTTCACTCTTGAACAACATGGGTTTAAACTGCGCAGGTCCATTTATATGCAGATTTTTTTCTGATAAATACAGTACAGCATTGTAAATGTATTTTCCTTATGATTTTCTTGGTAACATTTTCTTTTTTCTGTCTTACTTTATTGTAACAATACAGTATATAATACATATGACATATAAAATATCTATCTGTTAATAGTTCATGTTATCAGTAAGGCTTCTGGTAGGCTATTAGTAGTTAAGTTGGGGAGTCAAAAGTTAATGCAGATTTTCGTGTGGTGGATCAGGACTGCTAACACCACCTTGTTCAAGGGTCAACTGTAAATATTTACTTTTGTTCCTAAGTTGGCGTTTGTAATTTTGTGTTCTTTTTCTTGAAGAGGGCTCCAGAGATTGAATAAGCTTCAGGCTCTACAAAACCTGGATCTGTCCCTAAAAAGAGTCATTTACAGGCAATGAAAACTGAAGATACAAGTGGGGAGATAAGATGTAGAACTAGGTCCTGGAAGAGGACGGAAAGGACAGGAAAAGGAGTTACTCATGGGGAGAATGGAGGGAAGACCAAGAAATGTTGAGTTGGAATGGAAGGTTGTTAAGAGACCTCAAACTGAATGACCTTGATGTCAGCAAGGCAAGGTTGGAGATGGGCAAGACAGAAATACAGATGCCTGAGGACAAGGGAGTGCTGACAAAAATTGTTTGAGAACTCTGACTGAGGAATCCCACCTGGATGTGCATGAAGGACCATTGAGAATAAGATGGGGTAAGCATGGAAGTCTCCAGAAAGACAGAGCAGGTTCAGTATGAAAGAAGTAGTGGGAGAAATCACAACTTGTATGGAAGAATTTTTAATTTCAAGGACTTCAATGTGGAATAATTTTCAGTGATAGCATATTTCATGCTATGCTGTCCCAACATATCCTGTAGGGCTGCTCTCAAATGCCATCGCTTTTATCAACTTTTCTAGTCCCCTAAATTAAATTTAATCTTTCTTTTTCTCCAATTTCCCAGTACCTACTTTTTTGGTTTCACCTTGGCTATGACTAGCTGGTTTCATCTTTGTTTCCTCTGCTAGATTATAAACTCGTCTAATTATCTTC